ACCCGTCCCAAATGAAAGAACTGAACAAAGCTCCAGAAAAAAAACTAAGTGAAACAGAGATAGCAATCTATCAGAGGCAGATTCTAAACACTGGTTATAAGAATGCGCAATGATCTCAGGGAGAACTTCAACAGAGAAACAGGAAGCATATAAATGGAGATGGAAACTGTAAAAAAACAACTCAGAAATAAAAGATACAATAAAGAAAACAAAGAATATATTATAGAGAATCAATAGTAGGTTAGATGAAGCAGAGAATCCAACCAACAACGTAGAATATTAGGTAGCAGAAAACACCCAACCAGAACAGCAAAAAGAAATAAGAATCCAAAAACTTGAAGAGAGTTTAAGGGGCCTCTGGGAAATAAGCGTACCAACATTCGCATTATAGGGGTACCAGAAGAAGAGAGAGAGCAAGGAGTTGAAAAATATTTGAAGAAATAATGACAGAAAACTTCCCTAACCTGGTGAAGGAAATGGACATACAAGCCCAGGAAGCACAGAGAGTCCCAAACAAGATAAGCCGAAAGAGGCAAACACCAAGACACATCATAATTAAATGCCAAAGGTTAAATACAAAGAGAGAATCTTAAAAGCAGCAAAAGGAAAGCAATTAGGTTCCTGCAAGGGTGTCCCCATAAGACTGTCAGCTGATTTCTCAACAGAAACTGCAGGCAAGAAGGAAGTGGCAGGAAATATTCCACGTGATGAAAAGCAACAAAATACAACCAAGATTGCTCTACCCGGCAAGGCTGTCATTTAGAATGGAAGGATAGGTAAGGAGCTTCCCAGACAAGAAAAAGCTGAAGGAGTTCATCACCACAAAACCAGTATTACAAGGACTCCTACAGGGACTTGTTTAAGATGGGAAGGGCTATGAGAATGGGTGAAAGGGGAAGGGATTAAGAAGAACAAATTGGTTGTTTTACAGTAGTCATGGGGATGTAGGGTATAGCTTACGGAATATAGTCAACAATGTTGTAATAACTAGGTATGGTGCCAGACAGGTACTAGATCTATCAGGGTGATAGATGGGAATGGGGTTGGGGGCAAGGTGGAAAAGGTGAAGGCACTAAGACATATAAATTGGTAGTTAATACAGTATTGGGAATATAATCAACAATGTTGTAAAGATCATGTAAGGTGACAGATGGGCACTGGATTTATCAGGGGGATCATGTCATAGACTGTGTAGATGCCTGACCAATGCGATATACACCTGAAGCTAAAGTAGAATAATACTGAATATCAACTATAACTAAATATATGGTATATATAGTCACGGATGTGGAGTACAACATAGGGAAGATAGTCGATGGTATTGTAACAGCTACATAAGATGTCAGAGGGGTAGTAGCTTGGGGATGATTTATCACTTTGTGAGGGGTTTAAATGTCTAACTATTATGTTGCTTTATACTCCTGAAATTAATAAAAAACCCACAATCATCTTTACCACAGCATCATAAAGGATGATATATAAATACGTAGGAAAAAAACATAACCAAGAAAGACTTATACACTGAAAACTACAAAACATTGCTAAAAGGAGTGAAAGCAGGTAGAAATAAATAGAAAGATATCCCTTGCACATGGATTGCAACAGTTAATATTGTTCAAATGCCCATGCTACCAAGTGTTCTACAGATTCGATAGAATCCCTTTCAAAATTCTAAAGGCAATTTTGGAACAAAAAGGAAAAAAACAAACACACTGTTATTCATACAGAATCAAGCAAAAGGAACCCAGGAGAGCCAAAACATTCTTGAAATAGAAGACAGTCGGAAGCTTCACTTTTTGGCATTTAAAACATATTACAAAGCAAGAGTCATCACGTCGGTGTGATAGTGGCATTAACCCAGATACATAAACCAATGGAACAAAAGAGAATGCCCTGAAATAAACCCATGCATACATATCAAAGGTTTTTCACCAGGAGCCCAACACTACACAATGAAGAAAGGTCAGTCCCTTTAACAAATTGTGTGGGGAAAACTGGGTCTCTACAAGAATGAAGCTGGAACCTTACTGGCATCAAACATAAAAACTTCTGAGTGTCAAAGGATACAATGCACACGGTGAAACTGCTAGCCCTGACAAATGGATGTGAGAAAAAGGATTGACGAGGCCCACTGGTCTGCGGTGGCCACCTGGCTCATCAGCCAGGCACCTAAAGGGTTAACCTGAATGGACTGGATGAGGAGATTAGAAAAGAAAGATACAGAGACAAAAGTTGGGCTCGGGAGGTCCATTGCCGGCTGATGGTGAAAAGTGGCACCATTTATTGCCTGCACACAATTTTTATAGCAGAAGCAAGTTTTTTTAGGTAAGGAGTTTTGGGAGCTTGAGGAAGTAGGGAAGCAAATGTTCCCAAAGCTAGACAAAGTATAGCAAGTAGAAACCGCTAACAGGCTGGCAGTTTGTTCTGTAACTTTCAGGGTTGTCTGCACAGTGGAGAATGAGATCTATCTAGCAACCTTCCCACGCTGCTCACCCGGGCCTGAGAGCCTGTCAGCTTGCCAGCTGCCAGGCTTAACCCTTACTGCAGACCTCTGGCTCTCCACAAAGGATCTGAAGACTCTCCAACTGTCAGGCAATATAGTGGATTTCCTATTTTAAAATGATGAAATAAATCATCCTTTGTCACTGATGTCTGTCTGTGAACTTCCCACTCCATTCCCAATCATTAAGATTTTCAAGTCAATAAAATCAGTCAGAAATATTTCTGCCCATTTGTCCCTTTCCAGAATTTATCAGGTATTCATGCATATCAATACATGATATTTATGTGCCAATTCTTTTGCCCTGGTTGAAAGAGAGGTGACAGTGCATCCAGATGTGGCCCAAACCAACCCCCGTTACCAAACCACGCTAATGCCTCGGGGCCCATACCCCATCTCCAATCCAAAGGCACGTAAAGTCTCTTCCCAAGTCCCATGTCACTGGGTCAGGGTGAGATGGAACCTAACTAGAGATGGGAGGGACTGAGGGAAGGCCCAGGTTGAGTGTCAACAAACCAATGTCAGGAGGACAATTCACAGTCAGAGATCAGCAAGTCAAAGGGCATCTCAGGAAGGACAGACATGACCACCACCCCAGGATATGACTTTCCCTGAGGAAGAGCCATTGCTGAACGCTCTTTCTTTGCTCTTCCTTCTCTTCTGGGCTGAATCTCAGGCAAGGTTTTTTTTGTTTTGTTTTTTTTAAGATTTTATTGGGGAGTTGGGGGACGGGAACTGCGATGGGGAATCAAAGAGGGGAACAGACAAGTTGCTGTCCTTTTGTTCTTCAGTCTAATTGTGGAGGATGTCACTCCACTAACCCATATTGGTATTATCATTGCGCTCTTTTTAGGTGAGGCAGTCACTCGCCAGCACTGGATGGCTGCTCACGGCAGCTCACGCTAGCTCACGAAAACGCACGCCAGCTGCCGGGCAGCCCCACTGCAGCCTACACCGGCGCCAGCGACTCAGGGCAGCCCAGCTCCAGGTTGAGCTGTTGTTCACCATCTTAGGTGTAGAGGGTGCAGTGTCACTGGCCTGCATGTGGGATCCGAACTGAAGCCCTGTTGCTCAGAGCTAGCGTCTAAAGCCAAATCTTTTTTTCTTTCTTTTTTTTTTATAGATTTTATTGGGGAATTGGGGGAGGGGAACAGTGTTGAGGAGTTAGGGAAGGGGACCAGCCAAGTTGTTGTTCTTCAGTCTTCGTTGTGGAGGGCACCAGTCGCCATCTGGCTTCCCGTTGGCAGCCTGTGGCCTCTAAGCTCAAAGTGCCGAGCTCAATCTTAGTTGCAGGTGGGTGTAGCCACCATTCCATGCGGGAGTCGAACCAGCAGCCTTGTTGTTAAAGAGCACACACTCTATCCACTGAGCCATCTGGGAGGCAGCTCAGCTCAAGGTGCCAAGTTCAGTCTTAGTTGTGGCCCACCATTGAACAGGCAATCTTGTAGTTACATCGGCTGACCCATCCTGGCACGTGTTGGCAGCTCAGCGACAGCTCAGCCCGGGCGCCGCATCACAGGCCCATGTGGGCATTGAACCGGTGGCCCTGTTGCTCAGAGCTTGCGCTTTTAAGCCAACTCTTAACCAACTGAGACACTCGGCCGGCTTCCAAGCCAACTCTTAACTAACATGCCACTCAGTCTTCCCAGGCAACAAGTCTTTAGAAGTCAACCAGGAAAGTTGACTACATGCTGTTCATAACACATACCCCCTTCCTGTGCCACAGCTACACACACAGGAGAGACCTCACCATGTGGAAAAGACGGTGCCTGCTGACCCTGCCACATGTGGCATTATTCAGGGACAGGAAACTCCTACTCAGACACCAACAAGTGAGATTTCCAATCCCTTTCATCATATCACGCTACCCTCCTGGTGACACTTTTACATGTCTGCAGCAGTGGGGACCTCGGCTGACCGTCACTCACCTTCAGGTCACACACCTGGCCCTGATCAAACCCCAAGCAGAGCAGAGCCTCCTTACCCTCACCCTCACCCCAGATCTCAGCCCCTAGAAATGGAGGACCCAGACAGAGCCTTGCTGCTCAATGATGGATACACATTAGAATCACCTGAAGCACTTTAAATATCATTGAGACTGGGCCCAAGTCAAATGCATGAATAAGACTTCTTGTCAAAGGACACAAACGATCGAATTGCAAAACACCTCAGCAATCTAATGTGAAGGGGGATTCACCACCACCCAGAGGAGGCAAGCCCAGCACAATTCCACTCTGCTTATTCTCCAGCTTGTTTGAGGCAAAATTGACAAATACAAATTGCTTGTATTAAAGGAGCACAATCTGGATCATTTGAAATACATATACACTCTGAAATGATTATCACAATCAGTTTAATTAACACATCCATCAACTCACAATTACTATTCTTTATGTCCATGTGGTGAGAACACATAAGACTTATCTTTCAGCAAATTTCAAGTTTATGATACAGTGCTTGCCTGGCAGATCCAAGCCAAAAAGACACAAGTAGGAGTTTGCAGCAAAGAAAGTAAAGGTTTATTTAAGGAGTTGGTGCCTAGTCCAGAGACAGAAGTGAGCTACTGCTCTCAAAAACCTGGCTCACTGATAGCCTCTAGCGATTACATTATATTTGCCCCTTCGGCACATTTGACAACTGAGACTCATCATGCTATTGCTTTGCCTAAGTGCAAGATGACAAGTCTAACTCATCTTTCAATTTAAGACAATGTTTAACATGTACATTCTTGTTCATTTAAGTTGAAAAAGGGAAAAGTCAAAACTTTATCCAGTCACAGTTTATTTGCTGAGATGGAAAGATAAAAAAGACGCTCACATACTTAGAATGAAACAGTCAAATGCTGACTTGACAGACACAGGCAAAAAGAGAAATAAGCAAGGTGGCGATATCAAAAATATTATAAACCAGCATGTGTGCTTGAGTATAATAAAGGTATGGGGGGGCGTTGATAAACAGGATCAAATGGTAGCATGCTTCCCTGTTATGAGAAAATGTGTAAAGGGATATAAATAAATGCTTTTTTATCTAATAGACAGTCTTTTATAGTGCACGTTTTATATTGTAAAATCAACTGCACAACCGAAACAGGCATTGTTTGCTTTCGTCTAGCTATTGCTGAACAACTATTGGAGTAAGTGTCATTGCCAAATTATAACTGTCGTGGACGTTCTTCAAATAGCAATACACCTTTTTGTTTGCAGGTGAAAAATTGGGCACACTTTCCTGAGAATATTCCATCAACTAAGCCCAAGCAACACCCTACAAAAAGGTGCCATGTTTGTTATAAACATAAAATTACGAAAGAGACTACCTGGCAGTACAAACAATGCCAAGTGCCACTGCATTTACCTACTTGCGTTGAAAAATACCATAGTCTTCATAATTATTAGTAATTTGCTTTTTGTTATACCTTGAATTTGTTTTAGTTTTGTGTTTGTTTATTTATTTATTTTTGTTTTGTGATTCTAATTACCTGAAGTCATCTCAATACTATGTATGTCAGATTTTTTTAGAAATAAATGCATTTTTACATAAAATCTACTGCTTTTACATATTACTCCAAGTACCAAAACACTAAATCTGTTCTATATGCAAATTTTTTTTCAAATAAATTGGTACCCAAGAGGTTAATATAAGTTAAAAAAATAATTAATCATGGTTGCTATGAGAGCTGAGGCTGGCATCTGGGGCCTCATGCCTAAGGCAGGGAGCAAGTGATCATGGCTTCAGGTCCTGGTGTCAGTCATGCATTGTGTCCTCTAGTTTCCAGGGGATGCGGTTCTTGGGGCCGGTCAGCTTTCATAAATCCAGAGCTGAAACATAAGTGAGGCCAAGTTGTTACCTTTGTTGTATTAAACCCTTACTCATCGTTTGAGGTTTAGTTATTATATCCTAGTCAGGGTTGATAGGCCTCAAGGTTCATACTTAAGTGAATTTGTTGTTAACCAGAACCCAATGTCCTAAGGTCTTAACGATTAGAAGGAGCGCACATACAATATAGGAGCAGGCAGGAGGCTCTGGGGAAGGAACGCAAGTGAGTTGAGTTCTACCAGGATAAACAAAGCGAGCTTGGATTAAAGCAGAATACATGCAAAAGACATGAAGTTCACATACGGTTACAAATACACCTCACGGAATACTTGAATGGCGCGGTCGGGTGGAGAGGTGAGTAAAGATTTAAGACGGAAAACAACGCGAAAAGGGAGTCTACGTGGTCAGAAGACAGAAAAGCCGGCGGGCAGGGAGCAGCCTCGGAGGACTTCAATCCCCAAGGGAAGCGCCCCGGCTCCCAGGGCGAAGCTTCAATTTACAGAGGGGAAGGCCTGTAGCGGGTACTTCAAGGTCCATAGTGAGTCCAGACCCATATATGAAGATGGGGGGTTGTGAAACACAGCTTTAGACTACAAAGACGGAAACTCACATCGGTAGAGTGACCACCACTGTCAGCTATCCGCTTCACAGTCTGTTAAGAAATGGCCGCAGACCCAAAGGCCAGAGAAGTGGGAACAAAGCTTGGGCGGAGCCCGATGGAAGGGGGCTGTAGGGGTTAAAAGGCTGCGCATGCGCGATGACAGGGAGGAAGCAGGAGAAAACCTGCGTGAGGGCGGGGCCAGGAGGGGGTCTTGTGCTGCAGGGGGCACCGCTGGTGAGTTACCAGGTCTGGGCGTGTACCCCAAGGAAGGGAAAAGAGAGAGGGGTGAAGGGGTGGCTGGGGCAGTGCCTGGACTTCCCGGCGCTTAGCAACGAAGGTTTCTTTTCCTGGTTTAGAAATCCTCCTGTGTCTTTAGCGTTCGCTGCAACAAAATTGCTGCCTGCCCATTTTAAGTTACTACGTGTAACATTTTAAGGTAAATGCTTAGAGTTCTATGAGTCACTTGGGTTGGAAACTAAGATGTTTTCCTCTTAACAAGTTGAAAACGGTTTATGTCAAAAGCTGTTTTTCCCTGCTGGTTGCACGCAAGTACTGCTACTAAGGCTAAAGCAACTCAGAGGAAACTAGCATCTCGGTGAGGGGGTAGATGTGGGGAGGGGAGGGGATCCAGGAAGCTTTCTACAGTTAGAGTTAATATAAGCACTTTCATTAGCTAGAACTGCAGTTGTCTGTAGGGATTACGGACTAGAATGTGAAATACAAAGCTCTCCCTGAGTAGAACAGGCAATTTCATACTGACACCAACAGAACAGCCTTTCCTTGTCTTCCTGATTCACCAAGGAGGCCAAGACTCAACATGGCTCAGTTCCAGAAATTTTCATACGGAGAGTGTTACCGACATTGGGGTTCTTGGGTTTCCCAAGACAGAAATCCAGGAGAAACCCAAGAAAATTTTCCAGACACATTTTATTAATTTTATGCTTAAGCACAAAGTTGGCAGCACAAAGAAATGTCCTCAGAACTGACTCGGGAGCTGGCTCTGCCTGGCTGCTTTTATAAGCTGGGAACAAAGCGGGCTTGTAGGGAAAGGTGGGCTCGTTGAAAACAATGAGGTTTTTGAAAAACGCGGGTTTCCTTAACCGGCTATGTTGCCTGGTAACCATCTTCACTCCTCCCCTCTGGGGGCAAGATTGTGCAGAAGTCAGTATCTCCACCCCAGGAAAGTGGTAGAGTGGTCAAACCTTCAATAACTGCACATGCAGAACAGTGGTTAGAAATCTGTATGGAAGTAAAAGTTTGGAAAGGAGAAAACAATCAGCAACTTATGCATTTTTGTTTCAGGGGTGTTGGGGTGGTGGCATTCTTCTGGTCAGCATATCCCGTGTTGCTCCTGGTCATCTGGCTTTTTTTTTTTTTTAAGATTTTTATTGGGGAATTGGGGGAATGGGAACAGCCCTGGGGAGTTGGGGGAAGGGGAACAGACAAGTTGCTGTCATTTTGTTCTTCAATCTAGTTGTGGAGGACGTTGCTTCACTGGCCCAAGTTGGCACCATTATTGCACTCTTCCTGGGCAAGGCAGATCAGTCCCCGGCCTCTGGACAGCCACTCATTGTGGCTGCTGGCCGCTCACGCTGGCTGCTGGCTACACACAGTAGTCCATGGCAACCCACCTGCTGTGGCCGGCGACTCACGGCAGCCCAGCTCCAGGTTGAGCTGTTATTCAGCATCTTAGCTGTAGCGGGCAGTGTCACTGGCCCTCATATGTGGGATCCGAACCGGGGCCCGCTGGCATCCCAAGCCAGTTCTTAACCATCCCGCCACTCAGCCTGCCCCATCTGGCATTTTTTTGATGGCTAACCCAACCAAGTCCCTATGCTGTCTCAACAGGAGACCTGGGATATCAGACGTGAAGGAATAACCATGTGATAATTTAAGGTCACTAAGTATTGCTTTAAAAAAAGAAGTAACTTTTTGAAAATTTGTTATGAATTGCACTTATACGGTATCTATTGTATTCCACAGTTGAAATATATTACCTACAAACACCTTTGAGAAAACTTGTGCTCACATCATAATATACTTAGGTCAATAATACCTAAATATAATGTAATTTCAAATTCATTATATGTTCCAGGAGAACAATTAGAAAATTTATTTTTTATTTTAAAATTGTAATATATTTTACCTCTTTTTTTGTTTGTTTGTTTTCTATTTCTGAAAGTTCTTCCAGGTGTGGATTACAAAGCCTGTACAATATATAGTCTTGGCAAGACATTAGTATTTCTTTTCATCTAAAGAATAATTAATTTTGCAATATTTCTAAGGGTCTTGAGGAGCGAGGTATATTCTCTGTAACATGAACTCTAAATAAAGAACACTAAATTTATCGAATATCCAACAACTTCTTTTCTACCCTCAATAATTTTTAGGGCAATATCTGGCAGTTACCATCTGCCATGAAGTATGGTTTCTCTTCTTGCTACATGTGCAAGATTTCATCTAGAGAAATGGCAAGTCAGTCTGTGTGCAACAGCAGAGCTCAGGGGAAGTGAGCTCAGCCCCGGGAGCCTGGGCAAAGAGAGGGACGGTTGTTTGTTTTCTGGACCAATAGCAATTTCTCTTCCAAAGTGTCAATTTATTTGAGTCCAAGCATTTCATTAAAATAATAAAACCAGGGCCGGCCAAGTGGCGCATTGTTTAAGAGCTGGCTTGGGATGCCAGCTCTGAACAACAGGGCCGTGGTTCGGATCCCACATTAGGGCCAGTGACGCTGCGCAGTCTACAGCCAAGATGGTGAACAACAGCTCGACCTGGAGCTGGGCTGCTGTGAGTTGCCAGCGACGGCGTAGGCTGCAGCCCCTGCTGCAGTGGACTGCCATAAGCTACTGTGAGTAGCAGGCAGCCAGCGTGAGCGGCTGGGTAGCCGGTGTGAGCTGCCGAGAGCTGCTATGAGCGGCTGTCCAATGACTGGCGACTGATCTGTATCATTTGGGAAGAGTGCAATGATAATATCAACATGGGCCACTGAAGGATGTCCTTCACAACTAGACTGAAAACCAAAAGGACAGCAACTTGTCTGTTCCCCTTCCCCGATTCTCCAACGCTGTTCCCCTCCCCCAATTCCCCAATAAAATCTTAAAAAATAATAATAATAATAATAATAATAATAAAACCAGTAAAATGTTAGGAAAAAACACTTTAAAAGTTTCAGAAACTTATATCAGTTCGAAGGAAACCAGAGGAATGCCCTTTATGGGAAATAAACTTTTCAAAATTTTTGTAGCATGTACAGTTATGATCTGGTTGATCCAAAATCCTGCCAGCACTATCTCCAAAATTTCCACAGCAGATAAGATATATTAACTTGTATATTTCAAGTTAAAAATTATTAAGAGTATAAGGGCCGGCCGAGTGGCTCAGTTGGTTAAGAGCTCGCTCAAGAGTTTGGGCTCATGAGGTAGTGACATAGAACTTGGGAAGAGGCTGCTTTGAGGTGATCATCCTCTGAAGGGATGTGTACTCAGGCATGGATTAGAGACAGGGAGTAGACTGTGCTGTCAGCAACCTTGGTGAGTAAGGATTGTTTAGGGGCCCCATCTGGTGCCCTTTCAGCCCTATAAACCAGGATTAAAGAGACTACATATGTACTCATATATCAATGTGAACAAATGCCCAAGAAACTCTGGAAAAGAAGACTGATAGTGAAAACTGGCTTTCCCTGATTTTGTAAAGGCATTTGAAGTTAAACTGAATCAGTGTCTTTTTGACTAAAAAATAGGAATCATTTATAACAGAGTGGGAACTTCAGTTTTAGATCTAAGGGATAGTTCTAAAGGGATAATAGTTCTAAGGGATAAAACATAATTAGTTTTATTTTCATTAAATTTACAGGCATGACACTGGTTAATAAACTTATATAGGTTTCAAGTGTCTAATCACATAATACGTCATCTGTATTTTGCATTCTGTGATCACCACCCAAAGTCAAATCTTCCATCACACAATTTGACACAATTTACCCTCTTCTACCTCCTCCCTACCCCTTTACCCTCTGGAAACCACTAAACTCTTGTCTCTGTCTATGACTTTTTGTTTTTTTGTTCATCTTTTTTGTTTGTTTCTTTCAGTTTATATCCCACATGACTGAAATGAGATGCTTCTTGACCTTTTCTGCCTTAGTTTGCTTAGCATGAGAATCTCCAGAACCATCACTGTTCTTGAAAATGGCAGTATCTCACCTTTTCTTACTGCATTTTATATATGTACCACATCTTTAGCCAGTCATCTCCTGAAGGACATTGCAGTTGTTTCCATGTCTTGGCCACTGTGAATAACGCTGCAGTGAACATAGGGGTACATGGGTCATTATAGATAATTGTTTTAAATTTGGGGTATAGATCCCCAGAAGAGGGATTGCTGGGTCATATGATAATTCTATTCTGAATTTTTTTGAGGAACCTCCAAACTGTTTTCCATAGTGGCTGTACAATTTACATCTCCCTCAGCAGTATAGGAGGATTCCATTTTCTCCACAACCTCTCCAACACTTGTTATTATTGTACTTGTCGATAATAGCAATTCTAAAAAGTGTAAGGTGGAGGCAGCCATTGGCTCAGTTGGTTAGAGTGCAGTGCTCATAACACCAAGGTTGCTGGTTCGAGTCCCACACGGGCAGCTGAGCTGTGCCATCCACAACTAGACTTAAAACAATGACTTGACTTGTCCTGGAAAAACACACCGTTCCCAAATAAAATTTATGTTTATATATATAAAAAAATTGTAGGGCCAGCCTAGTGGGTTATCTGTTTAAGAGCTCAAGAGTGCGAGCTCTGAGCAACAATATTGCTGGTTTGATTCCCACATAGGCCCAAGCTGTGCTGGCACTGAGCTGCCAACAAGTAGCAGGATGGCTCAGCTAAAAGAAAAAAAAGAAGTGTTAGGTGGTGTTGCCTTACAGCTACATTCACGACCGCCCCCCCCCCCCACTAACCCCTGACCCAAGAGGTCCTGAGGAAGTGTCTCAGAACGACCAAGACCAGGTGGAATGATATCGGTCATCTCCCTTAATTGAATAGCACACGGTACAGTAACACTGTCCTGGGGGTTGTGCAGGCTGTATGAAGGCATCGTACATGTTGGAATACAGTGGGAGCTGGTTA